GTTGAAAATGACCATGTTTTCAGATAAAATGCGGTGTATCTCTCGGTAGAGGAGGGCTAGAAAGAAATCGACGGTCTAGGTCGAATCCCCTTTTCCTGAGCTTTCGAATGGTATATAGGTTGCTGGGCGAAAAAACTAACCAGTTTTCAAAAATGGAGTGGAGATATTTACTATTAGCTTGCTCCAACCCAGCTCCACCAATGTATTGGCTTTTATCGGTTACCGGAGCAAATGATTTTTAGAGCCGGGAAGCAAAGAAGCCCTGACATGCTGCATACCATTCGAAAGCTGAGATCATGGAGAATCGACGTAGACTGTCGACTTTTTTCTAGGTCTTCTGTGCCGCGAGATATGAGGGATTTCATGTGCTTCAAAAATTAACTGATTTTGTGTACTTACTTTCTTCTCTCCAAAATGCTACGAGGATAAATAAATAATAAAAATAAACATAAATACCGTTTCTTTAGTAAATTTATGAGTGTACTTGTTGTTTGAGGTACTTAGCCTGCTTTTCATAACGATTTTTATCATATTCTCAGAGTACAATACCAATCTCAGCCCAGGTGAAGGGGGTCATCGGGAGTTTGGCCTCAAAGTGAAGGGGGTAAGATCCATCACTCCCCCTATCGCAACTATGCTACCGACCGACTAGTGGGGTGAGGACGACTATACCTCTGCCTCCTATAACAAAGAAGCAAAGCGAGAGCTTGATCTCGAGGGAAGGAAGGCCTAAGGGCTTCATGCGGCAGTGCATTTCTGCTAAGAACTTCTCAATTTCAATGCTAAACTGTACAAAAGCTCGCTTGATATCCGATTTGGCCGGTTTTACTTCGCAGAAATCATACCTCTGCCTCTTAGGATAAAGAAGCAAAGCAAACTTGGACTTGAGGGAAGGAAGGTCCCGAGGGCTTACGCGGCAAGATCAATGCTAACTTACCAAAAATATTGCTTGAAACCTATTTTAGCCGCTTTTACTTCGCAGAAATCATACTTCTGCCCCCTTTAACAAAAAGGAAAGGGGACTTGATCTCGTGGTCTCGGTCTATGAGGCAAGACATGTTTGCTAAGATTGTCCAAAAGAAAGCTTTGAGCGGACTTGATCCCGCTTTAAGAAATGACTTCGCGAGATATTATAAGGAGAGTGTAGGACTGTGCATGATCGCGAAGCTCGGTGTGTTTGCGGCCGTCGCACATTCCTGAAAGTCAATCTGAATTTCTGGTTGAATCAGCTTTCTGTATAGATGACTGCTTAGCTATTTCCATTTTTGGGAGCTGGGGTTGGGTCTTTGCAAGAAGAACAGCGTATATGATTTGGTAGTTAGTCGCTGTAAAAAGTTTGCTTGAGCCTGATCTTGCTTCTATTACTGTTTGCATTGCGAAAAAAGATCGTTGAAATAATGGGAATTCATTCTCTTGCTATTTTTAGTTGGACGCAGACAGTTCTCAATGTATCTGCCCCAACCCACTTACTAGCGACCCGTAGGGTCGCTAGTATATATAAAACTCAAAAATTGTCCGTTTGGAGGGTGTGAGTCATAGAAATGCGCGTCGCTCAACCGATTGGGCTGGAAGTTTGCAAACAGATGTTTTCGACCCCGGAGACGGTTTTAGGCTACTTTTTGCGGCGTTTCACCGGGTCCTTCTATCGATTTATTGATTTGTTTAGTTTTTCAAAGGAATTGAAGGGTTATCATGTTTAATCAAGCATTTTGCCATATTCATGTAAAGGAGGGCGGTGAATCTCATTTTCAGCTTAGGATCAGGATGCGGTTTCGAAGCAGATGTTCCAGGGTAAGTTATCCATAACATATAAAAGGGGGGGGGTGGGCTCGCAGTGCAAGGGAACAGTGGCCCGGTCTGAACCGGGAAAGCCAACTAGTAAATCAATAATTCGAATAGGAAGACCTAGAAACGACGCAAAAAGTAGCCTTTGTTTTCCATTGATGTCTAAAGCTTAAGTGTGCAGAGTTTGACTTCTATCCGTTGAAACACAAAAGACTTTATTCAGTCGCAAAATCACGTAAACAACCCTTAGCCCGTTATTATAAGGTCTTGGTTGTCCGAAGGACTTGTAGTGTCCGTTCAAGGTGCTACCTGTAGCAGCGTTCAATTTACTCCATGAGCCTACCAAACCCACTTACTTTGGGGAACGATAAATTAGTTTTAAAATACTCAGAGAGGATGAAGTGCTGTCTTGATGATATTTTTATCGAGTCTCTTGCCTAGTTGCAGCTGCTGCAACGATAGCAGTGAATTCCATCGCAGTACCGGATTGATAAAAGCGAATGCGCTTGGCGAGTATGAAACCATTATTAAAATGCTGGAGCGGATTCCTAGCTGTCGAAGGACATTAAGAACAGACAGCCGCAAGACACAGGATAGGTAGCCAAAAAGTCAGTCGACGAAAGCACTTTCTTCTCAGTTAAAGCAGGTAGCGGATAATTGATGCAACCCACCCGAAGCCATGCTAAGAAGTGAATAAATGGGTAGATGCTTAAGTAGCACAAAATCTACAATCCGGTAATGGAAAACACATGGCACTTATTGTATGCTCGGCTTGCGTTACAAGCACTCCTCAAAGCAAGGAGGATAGAATTCTGTGCCGTATTTATCAACGAACCGACGGCAACTTTAGCCTCAAGATTAGGGTTTAACTTTAGGATTCGTTGGCTGTATTTATCAACGAACTCTCGAGGGCAGGGTCACCGAAAAGCTATCAGCCCATGTTCTTGAACGTTCAAGATAAGTTTAACACGTCTCGGACCGGTGCTACACATGGCGCAGCACGCGCCTTTCAAGGATCCTTTCAATGTTTGCAGGAGATTTTCTTTTTGTTCAAGGTTATCAAATCAGCGTAAGCTCCTCCTTTTCAAATGACTCTGTAGAGCTGTGCCGACGGTATTTGTTTAGAAGATATGAGGACAAATCGAACAACAGTTGCAACGAAGTGCGGCCACGTGGACGCGTGCGATGTCGCAACTTTTCTTTGCTTGTATCTCAAAGTGAAAAACCGTGGTTTCAGTAATGATGTGTACTGTGTACAACATAGATACTTTTGGACACAATTAGAAACTGAGTTCTTGTTCCTATCTTTTAGTAAAGCACAGAAGTCCTTCTCAGGGACAAAATTTAAACACTTAGAATTCACTCAGAACTCTGGGTATAGATCTTATCTGAAATGCTGATTACAGATGTAGCACACAGTCTACGAATTAAGGCCCTTTTGTTGGCTAACGGCTGAAAGTACCCTCTTTTTCGCCGCGCGCGATTTCGCGGTCCGAAACGTGTTAACCTTAGCATAGAGCAAGGTTGAGTTCACTTTGAGACTTTGACAAACATGTAGTGATTTCTCCCTTCAGTCCTTGAGATAATGCTTAGATAACAAACACATCGTTGAGGTTGTTATTATCTAAAATTTCCTTTGGTCTCTTTTCGTCTTTTCGTTTGATTGATTTATTTTATTTTTATTTTTATTATATTATATTTTTATTTTTGATATTATCATCCTAGCCGAGCTGTTGCAGTAAAAAATTCAGTTTAGAACAAAATACATGTCCAACTGGGGTTTGATTTTACGAACATCTTTAGTCCACCATTTCGTTTAGAAATTGAATTGAAGTATGTTCAAAGTACAGTAAAACTGAATACACCAAGGGTTGACAACAAAACACCAAAAAAGTTTATCATAATTTTTGTAAAATGACTAGACGAGACGAAAGGAGGCCAGAGGAAATTTGAGATACTAATAAGTGTATGTGTTTGCATAGTATCGCTAGGACTAGGGTGCATAAGAAATCACTTTACCTTACATGAGTCACAAAAATGTGCGAGTGACCTGAGGCCGTATTCATCATTGATACCTTGAGGTAAATCCTACTTCCAGGTAGTTTTATCACTCATTGTCATGTAGTTTCATCACTGATAATAAGTGATAAATTACCTAGAAGTAGGATTTACCTCAAGTATCAATGATGATTACGACCACTGTTTATACTTTTTAATAATGATTTGAAAATTAAATTCAGCCTTGCAAAAAATTTTATCGAGGCTCAGGGGCGCCACGCCCCCTCTTCTGAAATTCATGGTTAAGGGCTTCAAAGGCACCGTCCACCCAAATTTTCGACCTCCATGTTTTTATCGCCCTAGGGCCTTCTCATACCACTGATTCCGTACATCAAGTCGGAAGTCCGCGAAAACCTCGAAAAAACCTCGTTTCCAGAACCTGCAGGGCGAGTTCTCCGGAACGGTGATTGGTCGGGTGCGCAAGAATGGACGGGACGAACGTCATGCTCACTCAAAGGGAAGGAGCCATCGTGGCAAAACTGTCATCCGAGCACTTTCCGAGGCAATTTTCTCGCTTCAGAAGCATCTATTACCAGAGCGAGTTGGACAAGCATACAGTTGGGGGCCCACCACTGTAGGCATCAAAATCTCATCAACCCCATTTTGGGTGGACGGTGCCTTAACCTTGAGGTCAGTCGATTTCGCTTCATTTTGGGTTGACAGAAGCAGAAGAAAAGACGCATAACCCGCTTGCTTCTCTCTGCCCTCCAGATAATCAGCATGATTTGTGCATTTGATTAGATCACCAAAGCAGATCAATGAAATCTCTCAATCTTTGTCGCTGATGTTGAGCTTCGTGCAGTCCTGGCAGCAACATCTTCGACAATCTGCTGCACATAGAGAAGTCGAGCAAAACAGAAACGATGAGACGAGGCGAAAAGGTTTTTTCCTCAGCAAGCTATTAGAACTTCCTCTCTTCCGAGTTGGCCCTACTACAACGATTGTCTGTTCAAATGTCAATCCAAAGTAGAATCGTAATTGTGCATTCTTTATGTCCTATCAATGATATAATGAAATGTCGTTGTGTAACAAAACCAAAATTGTTCACAGCTTTATACAAATAGACACCCTCAATCAGAGATTGAAGTAAAAGATTTGATTTCGGTAGAAATCTAAAGATTAGTCCTTCCTTAGTAACAGATTCATTGCATAATAACATAAGATCCCGAGTGACTCAATAAACCATGGAACAAACAAGCAAATCACAAAGATGCCACAAATATATAACAATCTTTCTAGGAAATGAATCACAGGGATTACGAACTTTTCGACTTTCGCTTTATGTATCTGAACAGATCAAAGCCCTAATCAGCTGATCATCGACATCCTTCTGTTAGGAGAGATTGGACTTACAGGTTTTTCAGCTAAAACCGCTCTTATAATCTTTTCAGTCAAATAAGAATCGAGTGAATCGTTGTTATTCTGTAAATCCTCCTTAATCACAGCGTCAGCTAATTCTTCTTCCTCCTGGCAAGTGTATATACTGTGTGTTCTTCTTAAGCCTTCGTCTTCTTGAGAGTCGCAGCCGGGTAGATTAGAAGGTCTGCGATAATCAACATCATCGAACAGGCCCTTTCTGCGATAACTTTGTATTGTGTCGGCTTTGTGAGGTTTACCAATAACAGGTAAATCCATTTTTTGCCCATGTGTAAATTTTCTTCTTCCGCATCTCTTCTCAAATTCTCCGATGAAGTCAAATTTATCAAGGACTATGCCGTCTTTTCGAGTTTCCCGCAATGTAGGTAAAGTGGCTAAGGTATTTCTCCGCTCCGCACAGTGTTTGGAAGCAGAGATCATAGTCGGCCGCAGTTTGGGTTCGCTTTTTATATTGGTAGCTTCAACTTCCTCCTCTTCAACATCAGCTTTTGATGACAACTGGACTGGGTTCAAATTTTCAATGACATGTTTGAGCTCAGCTTCAGAGGTGATCAGAGAGGGTTGCGGCTGAGCTGCTGCGGAACAATTCTCTCGCAGGATCACATCTCCTTCCAACTCATCCTCTTCAGAATTTTCCGTAGCGGTAGCAATGGATTCTTGTGTTAAATCGTCTTCTTGTTGAAGAGTCTGCTGCCTCTTCATTACTATATTTTTATGTCGAGCCAGAGCTTTTTCATAGATTGCGTAGAGCTCATCTCTCGATGGGACCGTTTCCTGTTTTGAAGCTTCTACTGCTGGAGCAATGCCAACTACATCGGATTCGTCCAGAACAAGTGTTGGGGCTTCCTCTACTAAAAATGAGGTTATAAAAGAGTATAATCATTTAAACCTAGTGAAACAACCTGCAACTTGCTGCTCGACAACCTGTGATTTGGAGTGTCTTCGTTCACCCCTCAAGTGGTAGATCGTCTCAATAGCCTCTCGATATTCTCGAATTTGTTCTTCTTCAGATTCGGTATGGCGGTGATGGTCGTTCAGCACGTAATTTTCTGCACGTTTGTAGAGCAACACAATAAATTCCTGAAATTGCACAGGTGATAGTCAGAAGCTAGAGATGAATTTTCTGGTTATAATCAATCCGAAGTTTCGATATTGCGCGGTAAACTTTTTGAATACTATTCACTTTTAGCTTTGGTTATGGCAGGATCGTCGCTATACTCAGTATTTATCTAGCATAACTGTCTAATTCTTTTAACCCTAACCTTCCTTTAGCTCTTATTTCTACTATCCGGCTAGTTTTCTAGGTTGTTATCAAACATTCAAATGTATCAAATAAATAAACGAATCAGTAATAAATAAAGCCTATGTCTTATCAGTTCGGAAAAGAATTTCATCGGTAAATCAAAAATAATACGGCTTTCACGTGATTCAGGGAATACAGTTCTTTGTTTGAGTGAGACGTGTCATGCAAGAATTTAACACAAAAAGCTTCCAAAATTTTCTGATTAGAATTCCGTGATAATCAATAATTAGGGAGATAACCCACGCACAATTTCATTAATTGCTAGAAATAACAATCCTAGCATTGCAGTAAGATTGACTTTTGCATTTTTTGCTCTACCCCTCTTTTGAAAAGTTCCATTTTCTGCAGAAGGGTGTAAGCAAGCAAAGAGGAAAAGATGCGCATGAAGTTGAAGCACTTGCGGCTAATTAACTGGGGCATTCCGGCTTCTCTTTCTTCAATCAGTTTTCAAACATTGTCACATACTCTAATTTCCTTTTACCCAAGCCCTTAAACTACAGAGCAGCTTGATTACCTATTGTGTGCAGGTAGTGCCTGAACGCTTATCAGCAAACCGGAACTTTAAGTCGTCAATACGCAAATGAACGCGATGACGTGCTTGAACCAAGATAATGGCGTCCCATGACATAATTCATAGCAGGGGGTATTTTCAGGGTTTTTGTAAACATGGTGTTTATCAATCTTGACGGCGTAAAGATAACAGTGACATAATTCAGTTGTGGTTATTATTTCTTTCTCTAAGCAAAGAAACAAATAAATCTAACTATAAATTGGCAATGACTTATTAAGTGAATAAGATAAGATTTGAACTTTAGGGATCTCACTAAAATTTGTTCGATCATATACCCATAATTATATGCAGTAATGTATTCTAGGACGATTCATGATAATAAACTTTTCTTTTAATTTTGAATCACGATTGATTTCTTCTGGAGCAATTTCAATCCAAGCATCAAGACTATTGCAGCAGACTCTAGCTGTACAAACGTGCTTTTTTTGATCATAACCACAACGAAAAGGATTCTCTGACCCAAAAGCAATTTTTTTTTTGGAGAAAAAGGACAACTTACTTTACAATGTACTGGCGTAACGCGCATTGTACAGGTGATGCTCCGATAAGCAGTGAAGTAAAGCTAGGGTTTTTGGAATCTTCTCTTTTGCGAGAAAAGTTGCAAGATTATAGATTATAGAAAGCACCCACTCATTAAAATTTCAAATGGGGCGAGAAAGTGGCTTTTTGAGTTTTCGCAACGAAAACTGGCTTTCTAAGTTCTCTAATTTCTCACACTTCGGAGCTTTGAAAATACTTAGCTGCAAAATGCGAAAGTTTTCCTATCTTTTCGCCTAAGATTTTTTTATAGCACAGAATGGTCCCAGCAATCAGCAAAGTTTTAGTCAAATTTCTCGGCTCGAGTTTTTCAAAAATTTTGGTGAGCGTGTGACTTTGTGAGATAAAACTTCGCAATCATTACGCATATTTTCGAAAAATTCAGACTAATTTTCACGCATGTAAAGCAAGGAGGAATGAAAAAAGTTTCAAGTCTACTCTTTTTTCTTTGAGGATAGATTTTTGAAATGACATCTGCAAAAATGAAAGCATATTCAAACCAAGGAGGAAGCTTTTACACCGTGAATATTTTCCCAAAAAAGTTCCTCTTTGAAAACCCGCGGTCAAAGAAAAGGAACGAAAGAAGTGTGCATTGATGAATTAATTTAGGATCTACTATTATTGACTATCGTTTATGGAGATGCCAAAGACGCGAATGTTACTCGTATTTCCCTATTATTCAAAATTATAAGCTTAGAAGATATCCAGTCTCTTAGTATGAAAGCCCACCTCTTCAGCGACGTCCTTGTAGAGGCTATATAATGAGGCAAAGTGAAGTAGTAAAGCCAGTAAATGACAGCATTTACTTTGTGTATTCACCTTAATAGCATTAATTATCGCCAAAAGAAAGAAAAAGCTGCGGATACAGGTTTTTTAGCCTCGAAAGTGGTTAATGGAAGAATTATTGGAAAAAGAAGTTTTACGCACTCGTTCAGCCTTCGTCATCACTGCCTTGTAGAACAATAAGATATCTGACCAATAACTGGCTCGCACAATATCCCTGGAAAGAGTTAGATAAATTTTTTGAAAAATTTTCTAGACTAGCATTTACCAAAAAATCAAAGCTTATAGAGAATTTTATGTTTTAGGTCAGTAACCTATTATGCAAAAAACCTAAGAAAAAAATTTTGGTTTTGTAGTCTGAAAAATTACGTAATAGCTAAATTTTTGATGGAATTCCAAGAATTGTCCAGTTACCACTAATCGTCACCGCTACCACCGGTTGGTGAATTATAATTAATTTTATTGAAAAAATGTGACCATAATGGTGTACCTGTCATCGTACAGTAATCCTTGAACATTGTAATTTGCATGACTATAAGCTTCGGAAAGCGCTGAAGTAAACAGAAGAAGAAACCTTCCGTTCTTCTTCGAAATATGTGTTGTCTTCAATGTTTCCATCACATCAGTACAAACTGCAAATGCATTCATAGAATCCTCAACTCTCAGATTGCAGAGGTGACTTACTTTTATGGTTGGAAGCTGTTTCCCAGTAAGTTTCGTTGAGTGCTGCATGGAAACTTTGGTATATTTCAGCCATTTCATCAGCTGTGATATGCATTCTCCCTTTGGCGTCCAATCCACGAGTGTGTCGCAAATGCAGATGCATTTTGCTAAACACAAAAAGTTTTCCTTTGCAAGGTTCAAAACAGTTGTGAAAGCTCCTTGATATGAATGAAAGTCGAGTTATTATTCAAAAAATGAAGCTTTCTGGAGCATAAGCACGTTTTATGAGCATCCGATTAACCCGATGATAAATCATGGTTTTACGATCCGTGGCTGTATCGCTCTGTTTTCAATGATATCAGGGAAGGTGCATGATCTAGCAAGCAAAAGTACTCACTCAAGATTTTACTCTAAAAAAGGAGGTTCTCAAGGTCAATGGAATAAAACTGTGATAACCAGTCACTAAACATAACGATCAAATGCTGGGAGAAATCTCCTGCGTCATTTCTAAGAGCTCAGGCTTGTTCGATGGACTTAAGAGACTATGATAAAGATGCGGATGCCAATCATGCCTTTAATGACCGCGAGAGCTTGTCTAACTGTCAGCTCCAACTTTACAAATTTTTAATAAATACACAGTTTTTATACAAAGGTGAATGAAATCTAAGATCGTAAACATGAAAAAATAAAAGTATGTAAAAATAGAAAAAAATCTATGATAAATGTGGAGTAAACAACTTTCCAATGCCCTAGGTCGTTCCGGATTCTGTCGTTAGCATTGAAAAGTGATTCTTTCTGCTAAGCCACTGTTTATGTTCGTCATTAGAAGGAGATATTGTACTTTGTGGTGAAACCTCGTTGGCTTTCTAGTAAACACCATATCAATCGTGGCGAAAAATAATTCAAGATTATCAGAACAAAGGTTGTGTCCTTTTTAAACGAGCCAATTTTGTGTTGATCGAAATCTCTTATCAAAAGGTATGGTTATCGTAAATAAAAGACAAACTATTAATTTCGTTTTTTTTAGTGTGGACTGTTCAGCACGAGATTCTCACAAGAAAAAATCATGAAAGCTATGTATAAAGAATGCGTTTTGTTATTCCAAAATTCAGATTATGGTCTGACCAGTCCGAAAATGAATAAAGTGAAGTTTTTTGCATTTCGGTTTCTGCATTGGGTGCACAGTAGAAAACAAGTTGAAGGTGTTGCTGAGAAGTACTGCTGTAGGTATATGAACTCATTTTCAGTTAAGATACAAGCAAAACGTTAAAAAAGCGAGAAAGCTTTTAGAATTCTATTAGCTATGAAGCGGCAAATCGGATCAAGCGAATTTGCGTTCCCTTGTTTTGCACAGTCGTTAAACTATGTGAAAGAGCAGTAAGGCTAAAAGAGAAGGATGTAGCAATAGCAACTTCTAGCAATCGCTTTAACTTCTTCATCTCATTCGAACCCTTTCGTACAACTGTACGAACTGGTTGCGTGACGATAGAATGAGCCATTGCTGTGGTATAAAAGTAAAGTGAAAAAAAGAAAAGTCGTAAATCCATTGATAGTGGAGAGTAAACGAGCATCTGTGGAACGTCTACTTCTATTATGGAAAAACACCCGGAAGAATCCGATAAAGAATTCGTAGCAACTGGTTTACTGTCACACTCTGTGCGCAACTTTTGAAGTGCACCAATAAGCTTGGATTACGACTTTTCACTGGCAAGACAGTGAAAGATTGAATGAAGTGAGCCGTAAAAGGTTGATGGTGTGTCTGTCAGCTGAGAGGGTGCAGAAAAAACTCGTGGGACAGAGATTTCAAGGATACGCGACTCTTTCGCCACTTCGCCGACTACTTGAACTGTAAAAGTTCTTAGAAAGTGTCCACCTTCGAAAGTAGTATTGAAACTTCAAGCAAAAAATGTAGAAACACATTTACCCAGGGTTAGAAGATCATAAGATCTTACAATATCATTCGTCGTTAATGAACATGAGCTTGGTTTGTAGTAATGACCCGTATACTCTCCTCCACGTTCCCCCCCCCCCTTCCATTTTATCTACCAACTGCAAGCAAAATAACTCTTAGTTGACCGTACACAAGAAAATGGATTGGAGAAAAGCGCACTATCTAGCGATCAAAAAGAATAACCAGGTTTGGAAGGCGAATGAAAGTTGAATGGTGCATATTGAATCACTGTGTAAATAGATGAGTTACGAAGGAGCTCAAAAATAAGAATGATGCGTAATCCAAGAATTTTTAAGAGGTCATGATCTTCTTCAACTTCTACAAAACTTTCAATATATGAAATAGCAATGATCACCTTTCGCTATTGCTTGCATCAAAATTCTTATTGGCATATGAAACGATATAAACTTACGTCTCCAAAAAAGTTCACTTGAATTTTGGTGATTGATTTTGCTGAATTAACTAAATCCAATTTACTTATCTTTAGTTTCGATTCTGGTTTCATGGCTTTTTACAGTCTTAGAAACAATAGTTCATTTTCGAATTTCTAATCAACACGTGAATCGAATACTATTCAAATCTCTTACGTGTAGTAAATCACAGCTATTATGTTGTAAAAATCAAATCTGATTGGGCAAGTTTTAACGTTTCAAAAAGACCTATCATATTTTTGTGCAACAATTATGCACCAACCTAATAGACGAGTGAAAAAGATTCAAAATTGCTACAGAATTATTCGTAGAAGAAGGCTCGATTGGAAAATAGCTTAGAGTTGATGAAGCGAGTCGACATTAACGCTTTTATCAAATTTAAGGAGTACTTTTCGGTAGGCCTTCGCAGCTCTGAAAAAGAAGTTATGAAGCAAACTTCACAGAGTTTAAATGAAAATGTGGAACAAACATTTTTAGTTGAGTATGGTAGGCAAAAGAAAGAGCGATCGCTGGTGATATCGCACTGATAACAGCGAAGCTATTACTCCCACGTTCGAAATCAAACTAAAAGGCTCAAAATAGGTTTTAGTCTTATAACTGAGGTGGATAGACATGCCAGACAGCAAGAAATAGATATGTGGAGCAATTTTTGTGTGCAATTTGTTTTAATTCATTGCAGATCCTGTAAAATGACGCCCTTTATTGAGGTCAGTGTAGGGCGAAAAACGGACGTCAAGCGGATCGACAAGCACGTACGGAGAGGCGATGATGACACGACTGGTTCTAATACAACAACGTTCCATTGAAAGTGTCAATGTTTTGTTTTATAATGAGTTTTTGGAGGATTTTTGATCTCATCTACTTATCAAAACAAATCTAGATTCAGCGGGATTTTGAAAGGACGATCAAAATAGACGCTACATTTTCACATAAAAGAACTCTGGCAGGCTTTCAAAGCCCCACCTGGATGGTGTAGTCAAGTCTCGGCTCTAGCTGGCACCAGGAAGATTTCAAAACAAAGTTCCCATTTGATCTTCAAAATTTCATAAGAAATCCTTTTTGACCCTAAATCTTAGAAGTAAAAAAAACTCTGAAAAACGAGATGTCGATAAAAAAAACGTCGGGAGTTTTATGTCTTTTCGGCCATAAAACGATATCCCCTCATTTTTTGTCCCAAAAACGATATCCAGCTTGACCCGGTGCCCTGGATGTAGTTGATCTCTGCTTTCATTAATGTCAATTTCGGTACAATCTAGAACGTTCTTTGTTGTCAGAACTCTTAAGAAGAGAGTTATGTCTTCGCAAAGTTTCTAACACGAAGTCTTCGCAGTGAAAAAAATGCACAAGTAAAAAGGCAATCCAGTTGAACATTCTTGAAAGTTCCAAGTACAAAGATAAAAGATTGACGAGAAATAACTCTACAGAAATTGACAATGTTTCTCAGAAGCATCATCCGGAACTTCAAGTAAATTTCTAGCAAAGCTGGTGGTGTTAGACTGTCTTTACCCAAAGAATCGGTAAGCAGCCAAAACTCCAGCCGAATTATCAAATCGGCCTGATTGAAAGCCAAAGATTGCACGGAAACAAACCGTAACGTAGCACTTTGCCCATATATCACAGAACGAAAAGGAATCGAATTGTTGCAGCTGTGCGCGTTTTATCTGCTAACGCAAAGCAAATATGATAAGGTAGGTTTTTGTGAATTCAATGCATAAAAGGAAAGTGTTGAAGCGGGAAATGACGAATGGTATTGCCTGGTCCGTTACGAGAGAAGTAACATATTCGATTGGGCGTGGAGTTTTCCATCGAGTTTGGCCAAGTACACATAGCTGAAGAGGGCCTTTTTATGGATATGGATATCATGTTTCGGTAGGAAGTGCCGAACGTGGAGAGAGTAACTAAATTGATACAACAGTAATTTCTACAAAGTTGCAATGCATCGAGGTCTTTTAATCTCCAGAATTTGTAGCATAGGGCTTGTAGCAATGATTTTTGTAAAAGAATGGGAGAAAGAGCTTAGACTAGGCGTTCTGCTAGACTGTCACAATATTCAAGAGCTTCAGAACTAGGCTATGCTTGAGAGAACGCAAAAACTACTAGCTATCTTCCATTACACTACGCGCAACCACTTTAGGTATTCGCATTTTCTTCATAGCCCAACACTAGTTTTGCACTTGTCCCATAAGCACCGCTTGAAAACCACAGATGACTCACCTTCTCCTCAGTCGTACTTGCACAATTGGAGCACGTCTTTTGAGAGGGCTACAACCTGTCATACATCGCGACATACTCAAATAAACGCTTCATGCGGATAAGATAGTATTTATAGAGCTTGCTAGCATGGTGGTAAGAATCATTTGTTAGCTAATGAGAAAATAAAATGGCTAAGTCCGGTGAGCCGAATGGTTCTTCTGCAGCAATAAGGTTGCTATCGCCGTTCAGCGTGCCCTGCTATAACATATCGGGAGCCTACTGAAGCACAAGATGAAGGTGGAGACCTTCACAGCAAACTTGCCTACCGTATGATGAAAGCTCTATTGGAAGAACCCAATGGACGCATTGCGAAGGTAAAGCCAAGCAGAAAGTGTGACCTGCTGAAAGTCGGTCAAATAATTGACGCCTAAGGCCCCGGGCATACTTCACGCGATTTCAGCGTTTTATCAGTCTAAGTAAGTTATACACACTATGCATGCGCAGTTTGCTATTGTTGGATCTGAAGACTTCTGGCAAATTGCCAAATCGCGTCGCGACTGAAATCGCGTGAAGTATGCCCGGCCCTTTATGCAGGCTATCACAAATGATTCGAAAACAGCTCATTCCTAGAGCTTTTTTGCGTGAAATTGGTATTTTCACGTGGATGAAACTTTTCTCGGAAGAATAAATGCAAATTTGAGTAGGTTTGTGGACTTTTTGCTTGGTAGTCGCCATAACGGCAATAATCATCATCGTGCAATAATCACAATCTCTGTGCAAAAATCTTCTCAAATGATCAGGTAAAATCTTGGGAAATTGAGCATTTACGCAACTAATTCTTTTTGGCGCTATCTTCGTAAAGTAACCAACATTAGTCGATTTTTTTAGGCTAAAGTCCATGGCTTGTACATTAGCTTGTCAAACAGATCCACGACTTTGCAAAAAATTTATATACGGACTCAATTTTGCTGGCCAGAAGTTAAGTGGACCCGTTTCACGCGCAATTTAGGGGATCCACTTATCGGATCCGCTTGTGCTTTTGCACAATGGACTTTCCTGCTAGGATGTACTTAGAGCTCAGCTTTATGTATGTACTAGCTGGCATGCCCGGCTTCGCCCGCATCGAGGATTTAACTCGCTCAACAAGAGCAAGATTGGCGCAGAGCTATTGAAGCTCCTCACTGCGTTTTGGCTTTGTTCTACTTCTCGTGCAACACAGGGTGGACTTTCTGATCGCATCGTCTTGAATTACTGCATCTCATTTATCGTGGAATAGAAATGAGTTATACCGCTATTATTCACATGAAAGCTGGGTGTGTTTGATAGTAATGATAAAAATTCAATTTTCATCAAAATCGATAAATCAATACAAATAGTGGGAAATTCGCCGCAAAAGGTAGCCTACGGAATGGGCCGCCGTCGGAAATATACAATACCGCTCACATTATTTGAAAAATAGACGCGAATGTATGGACATGTATGGGCATGTACGGACGTGTCCATACGTGTATGGACATGTAGCGACATGTCCATACATGTCCATACATTCGCGTCTATTTTTCAAAAAATGTGAGCGGTATTGTATATGTGCGAAGTTTCGCGCTGATTGGTCTACACACAAAAGTTTCTTTAGGCTTTGGCCATACTTTGCCCGTGTTGCCGGTGTTGAAAGTGTTGCCGGTGTTGAAAGTGTTGAAAGTGTTACCGGTGTTGAAAGTGTTGAAAGTGTTGCCGGTGTTGAAAGTGTTGAAAGTGTTGCCGGTGTTGAAAGTGTTGGACGGAGATCATCAGTCTAGCAGTTTCATTCTTTCTCGAACGATCTCACCCGCTGGTGAATACGTTGGAAATGGAATTGGGGAATGAGAAATGAAATTGAAATGATGGGGAAGATTTTCGCATGCAAAAGATCCTCTAACAAACTTTTTGGAAAGTGGACGGCTTGTCTGGAATAGGCAAATTCCAGTATTTAAAAACGCTGTAGACCTCACTTAGGTCGTTTACTCACTAATCGCAAGCGCGGCAGGATTCGAACTAAAGCACATTACTACTCAGACGTCAGCTTTTTCAATTATTGGAGACCAGTGCGTCACCTCTGCTTCGCAGAGGCTCGCACTGGCCCTATTTTCTGTATGCCTTACTCATTCCCGCATAATAATGACATTGAAACTCACCGCGCCATGTAGGCTATCACAAATAATTCGTAAACAACTACTCATTCGTAGAGGTTTTCCATGTGAAATCGGTATTTTCGCGTGGATAAAATCTATCCCAGAAGAACAGATGCCAATTCGAATAGGTTTTTGGAACTTTTAAGGCTTGGTAGTCGCCGTAAGGACAATAAACATAGTAGGCTACATCGCTGTGCAAAAATCTTCTCAAATGATCAGGTAGAATCTTAAAAAATTGACTGTTTACACAGCGAATGGTTTTTGGCGCTGTTTTCATAAAATAGTAGACTTTTCATTACTTTTTTAGGCTAACGTCCATGGCTTGCACATTAGCTTGTCAAATATGTCCTTAACTCTGCAAAAAGTAGTACTACGGACCCAAATTTGCTGGCCAAAAGGCAAGTGGATCCGTGTGACGCGCAATTTTCAATGGATCCACTCAACGGATCCGCTCATGCTTTTGTATAGTAAGCCTTCATGCTGGTAGCGTGCGCTGTGCAAAATTTGGGCTCAGGACGTTGGCTGGAACACGCTCTACGAATTTCGTGACAGACAGAGATTCACACACACACACACACACACACACACACACAGACAAACGTAAACAACCCTTAGCCCGTTATTATGAGTTATGATTGCCTATTCCAGACAAGCCGTCCACTTTCCAAAAAGTTTGTTAGAGGATCTTTTGCATGAGAAAATCTCCCATTATTTCAGTTTCATTTCTCATTCCCCAATTCCATTTCCAACGTATTCACCAGCCGGTGAGATCGTTCGAGAAAGAATGAAACTGCTAGACTAATGATCTCCGTTCAACACTTTCAACACCGGCAACACTTTCAATACTTTCAACACCGGCAACACTTTCAACACTTTCAACACTGGCAACACTTTCAACACTTTCAACACCGGCAACACTTTCAACACCGGCAACACGGGCGAAGTATGGCCAAAGCCTTAAAGGCAGCTTACACCCAAAATCTAAGTTACTTAATTTTTTAGATCTTTCTGTACCGTGTATATACTGGGCCCAGAAGAAGACTAAGTGCGTTTTTCCGGTCTCCCAATCTTGCTTCTGAGCGGAAAAAACCCCCTCAATTTTCTTTCACTCCGCCCCTTTTCTTTCACTCCGCCTCCTCCGGACGAATCCACGAAGCGTAAGCTTCAGTTGCCGTTGCTGTTGCTGTTGCAATGCTGTTGCATCTGCACTGCAGTTGCAACAGTGCAGTTGCTTTTTGCAGTGCGCCTCCTTCGCGAGACGAACATCGCAGCAGTTGCAATTGCACCTACAGGTTGTCATGCTGTTGCAGCTGCTGGCATGCCGACGGGGCCGAGCAGTTGGAAACTCGTCCTCCCTTTGAAGAGAGGGTCCCCGGAAATCGGGGTTTTTTGGGACTTTTGGAGGATTTCAATGTCATAACTGTAATCAGCGGCACGGAAAGGCCCCAGAATGACAAAAACATCGAAGGTGAAATTTTGGGTGTATGCTGCCTTTAAAGAACACACTAACTAACAAGTTACGAACACCCGGTTTTTTTTATGTATAGGTAGATAGATTACATTATTTGGAAGTTGCTCAAATACTGCCATTAGATAAGCTTTTTGAGCACCAACGATAAAGAAATCAAAGTCGATGCCAGCAACCCATGTAACTATCTTGTTAGCATGGTTTTTCAAGTTCTCTAACAAGTGAACGTACCACTCAAGCAGGAGGGTCACTCTTTCGGCGCGCGTCCGTCATCTCCATGTGACATCTGCGGAAATAGACCTTCATGTAAGCTTTCAAAAGCTTTACCAAAAGAACTACTAGTTGAGGAGGCCACCTGACCTCAACGAAGCCTACGTTGCAATTTGAGGTTTAAAATCTCTAGACAAAAATTTAAGCAGACAGGGCTGCTAACAATGTCAACCCTCTAGACTGTAACTCAATCACTGACATTTCAGAGGATAGTTCAAGTCTACTATGGCGTATCGACTTTGGGCAATGACGTTTCATATAGTGTGAGTTTTACTTATGTATAAAGTTAAAGTTTGCCATTATGAAGAAAAAAGACACAAGATTTGATGCCAAGAACACCACCACCCAATAACCTTTTTCATAGTGATGCGATTCAGGTTGCCGTGATAGTAATGGTGGCAGTGTGTCTTGTATTAGCTCTAGCTATAGTAGTTGCTGCAGTGGCAATTCGTAAAAAGAAAATTGTGGCCGGAAAGGTGCGTGCCTCTTGTTGTGACTGCTATATCCTCCTTCCGATGTTGTAAACTTGCAAAGAACACCTTTTTTGAAGGCAGTGGCTCGGCAAAATCGAACATGTCGAAATTTTCATGAGGAAGGTTGCTTGCACCCCAAACATGAGAATGGAGCAGGTTCTTAGCGCCCAGTTCGGACGAGCTTGCGACATCCCTCACACCGTCAGAGGGGCATGCCTCAATGGTATAAACATGAGGGTACCACAACGATTCTAAGTCTCTAACCATGGCGGAAAGCGTTTCACTCGTCCAAGTTCAATTTTTGCCATTTTCGCGCTCTTAAAAGTGGGTTTTCGGAATCAGCGCGTCGAATTATTTCAGGTAACGAAATCCCACAGTTGAGGACTTGCCAAGCCACTGCCTTTGAAGGCAATGCCTGGAAAGATTCGGACATTCTTGGCTACTATCATAATCAAGTACTAAAGCTTGATTCAGAACTATTGAGCAAGCCTAACCTCCAAACACCTCCTTTGGAAGGATAGAATGGAGCGCCAACCATCAGAGGCTTTCGAACCCGCCTACTACCTTGCGACCCAACCTCATCAAACGAAATCTCCTTAACCCTTGACGTTTCAACAGGGGGTACAATTGAATACATACTGATCACCTGATGATGCTTTCTTGCGACCACAATTCGCCGGCAGCTCATCCATGGTTCTCAAACCAAAAAAGGAGTCTGAGGGATTTACGCTTTCATTGGAATCAACGCCCTGAAAACTCCTGTGGCCGTATTCCAACAAACCCCGAGGGTTAAACTAACCCTGGAGAGTTGGTTTAACCCTGGAAAGCGTTTAACCCGTATCCTACCCTGTGTGACAGACAAACAGACATTCAGCTTTATATATAAGATGTCTAAGCGTTCTAATCGTCCATATCGGTCTAAAATTTGAAATTTATGGAACTCTCCGAAATTTGTGCTCCGAACCAACCCAGTTAATTTGATGTTGGTCTAGAAA